CGGCGACGGCGGCAACGGCGACGGCGACGGCGACGAGGAGACAAACGACGCGCGAGCACAGAGAGTCGCCATTTATCCTGCCCGTTCTTGGCAGTTCCGACAAATTTCTGGCGGATATCGCCGAGCAGCGGCGTACACTAGGGAGAAATGTCAGGAAAATACTCGGAAAACACATGGAGGAGAAACACGTTAGAGAGGTCGTTTAATCTAGATTTACATTAAGCAACCTAACTACTTTAATGCGGTTAATTAATTTATCGCACATCGCCGCGCGTTTCCGTTTCGAAGTTTCGGATCGCACGCTCTGATTTGATTTTTCATCAAACAAATTCATCCTTTGATTGGATCAACGTTGATCATAGTTTTTTTTCACGTCAATTATTTTAGTCGCAAATCGCAAAACACAATCCAGATGATTTATATTTTTTGCGTTTTTATAAGTTTGTGCATTGTGTTGCAACGAAAATTACACACTCTCGAGACGATATAATGGATTAAGAGATCTCAAGTTTCTAACGAGAGGTCGATTTGTGAGATGCAGCATCTCGCGTCTGTCTCTGATTGGTACAAGATATCTCTCTGGCTTTTGGATTGTAGGGGGGTGGAGAAAACGCGGTAGAGAGCAGAGCACGCATTCCGCATAATCCGCGTATTCGGTTCTTTGTATATACACGCGGTATATCCCCAACGTGTGTGCGCGATTGGTGCTATATTAAACCGCGTTACATCCGCATATACACAGACGCAAGGCCGCAAGGCGCTGATGTTTCCTCGAGATGGGAGAGCGGAGAGTTGCTCGGCTCAAAACGTTTCGATACATACACTCGCGTATACCAATATACTCACCAAAACGCGTTTATATCGCGCGCACGTTATATAGGTATAAAACGATATTCGAGCTTGTTCGAGCCGCGGCGAAATTTCCTATATATCGGTTTCTCGCTTTCCTCCGAATAATATATTCGGTAAACCTCTCGCGCGCGCGTTTCATCTCGACGCGACGCGTCGCTCACAGTCTTCGACGAAGATATGTTCGTCTTCGTCTTCGTTTGAAATAGAATCGTCCTTCTGTATACGCGGCCCGAGCCGCATCAGCCACTTGATTGGCCCCTCGCCCAGGAGAAAGCAATCGCCTTAACCCCCTACTTGATCCCCGAGATCTAACCCCGATCCCATTCCATTGTGGACGCGTAGAATCCCGGCAGATTAATTGCTAATTAAGATCAGTATACGCTAATACCGTCGTCGCGTAACTGGTATCTACTGCTGCTGCTGCTGCTGCTGCTGCTGATGCTACTATTGAAACACGTAAAATCGATCGCGACGATAACTTACAGAAAAATAGAACTTGATGAAGCAAATGTCTTTTCAAGATTAGATATATGTGACGATTAATTGCGCGCTATAGCCATTTTTGAAAATAAATAATAAAAAACAAAATTAATGTTATTCTCACTTAACAAATTTGTTTTATTATTAGATCAGAAACGACCCGGCGTCCGCTGTGCACGCGGGGGGCTGTTACACAGCTCATCCCTTCCGAGGATTAATAATGACCGAGTATAAAAACGATTTCTCCGTATAAATGTACACCGAAAAAATTGTATTCTTGTTTTGAGAAGATATCCCACTTACTTTAAGTATATTTTATACTAAAATAGGCGCCAAGAAGAGTTTC